GATTTATTATTTAATATTATTATTATTATTATTATCAGCATCATCATCGTTATTGTTATTGTTAATGTTATTATTATTATTTTCTTATTGATTTTTTATTATTATTATTATTATTATTATTAATATTAGTAGTAATAATAATTCTATTTTTATTTTGTTGTTTTAGTATTATTTTAGATGTTGTTATCATCATCATCATTATTCATTATTGTTGATATTGTTGTTGTTAATATTATTACTAGTATTACTGTTATCATCATTTATTACATTATTTATTTTTTATTATTATAATCATCATCATTATTTATTATTATTGTTGTTAATAATATTTGTATTATTGTCATTATTAATGCTATTTATTGTTATTATTATTTAATAATCTTCTGTTTTCTCTCTTCCTCCAGGTCAGGTTTCTATCTGAAAGCTTCAGTCCGGCTCTGCAGTCTCACATTTCTCTGGCCTTCCAGGATCTGCGTTCGCCAATAGAGGATCAGGGAGTCTCAGTGACTCCGCCCTCTCCAGACGAGAGCTCTGATTGGCCCACAGAGCTGTTCCAGGTGCTACTGCAGAGTCAGGAGAAGCCCCACCCCTGGAGGATCCTGCTGTCAGAGGCTGTGCGGCGCCGCTGTGCTCCTCTGGCCGTCCTCGCTGCCTCACACCAGGTCAATTCTTTATTATTTGTTTATGTAATTTATACGTGTGTGTGTGTGCATATTTATGTCTGTGTATATGTATGTTTTTGTTTGATTGTGTGTGTGTGTATCTTGTGTTTTAATAACTGTGTGCATACATGCATGACTGCGTGTGTGTGCGTTTGTGTGCATGCGTGTGCGTGTGGTTTACAGGGCTCCGAGCTGCTGCAGTGCCTTTGTGTGTGGATCTTGACCTCGGTGGATGATGATGATGTCACTCAGGAAGCTGCCGCCCACATCAACGAGAGCCCCGCCCACCACGTGTGGAACCTGCATGACCTGTCCATCCTCTGGAAGACGCTGCTGAGCCGCAGCAAGATCAGGCCTCTGATTCGCGGATTCCAGCTCTTTCAGAGGGTACGAGACGCTATGATTGGTCGAAACGCAGGCTGCTCTGGTCATGCACATGATCGAGCTTTTACATGATTTACCACTTACCTACTCATTTTGTCTGAGCGAAAGTTTTGTTTAGTTTTATTTAGTTTTGCTTTAATATTTTTTGTTTTATTTTGTATCTTTTTTTGTGTGTTTTGTTTTGCATCTTTTGTTTTTTTGTGTTTTGTTTTGTATCGTTTTGTTTTTTTTTTGTTTTTTTGTCGTTTTGTATCCATTTGTTTAGTTTTGTTTTGTATTTTTTGAATCGTTTAGTTTAATTTTGTTTTTGTGTTTTGTTGGTATCATTTTGTTTTGTTGGATCATTTTGTTTTTTGTTTTGTATCGTATTTTGTTTTATATCATTTTGTTCTGTTTTTTTTGTGTTTTGTTTTTGTTTTGTTTCATTTTGTTTTGTTTTTTGTTTGTGTCATTTTGATATATCATTTTGTTTTGTTTTGTTTCATTTTGTATCATTTTGTTTTATATCATTTTGTTTTGTTTCTTTTTTGTTTTGTTTTATTTTGTATCATTTTGTGTTATTGTATTTTTGTATCATTTTGTTTTATATAATTTTATTTTGTTTCATTTTTTGTTTCGTTTTGTTGTGTCTATGTATTGTTTTGTTTGATATCACTTTTAGTTTTGTGTGTTGTTGTTTTTTGTCATTTTGTTTTTTGTTTTGTTTCATCTTGTTTTTGTTTTGTGTTTTCTTGTGCTGTTGTTTATCATTTTGTTTTGCTTAATCATTTTTGCTTTGTGTCATTTTGTATCGTTTTGTTTTGTATTCTTTTGTTTCATTTTGTTTTATATCATTTTGTTTTGTTTCATGTTTTCTTGTATCATTTTGTTGTTACATTTCATTTTAAGTTTTATGTTGTATCATTTTGTTTTGTTCCATTTTATATAGTTTAGTTTTTTGTTTTGTTTGTTGTTTGTTTTTTGTCATTTTGTTTTGTGTTTTTTCAGTTTTTTGTTTTATTCTGTCAATTGCTTTGTAACATTTTGTTTTTTATTGTTTTGTTTTGTTTAATTTTTTGATTTGTTTTAAAATAACTTGCATTTTTCAGTTTTACTTTTACTTTTTGTTTTTCAAATGTTGTGTTGTGTATTATAAGTTGTATTGTGTGTGTGTGGGTGTGTGTGTGGGTGTGTCAGGAGTCTCCGCTGATTGCCATGCTTCAGATGTACGAGTTTTGCTTCGACTACAAAGACTATCAGAGAGCCAAAGACAAACTGCTGGACTTCCAGAAGAGTCTGCTTAATGTAAGCTCCACACACACACACACACACACACACACACACACACACACTGGTGTTTACTCTGCTTATTCACGTGTGTATGTGTTTAGATGTCCACTGTTGAAATGTTGTATGTTGTTTATTCGTCAGGTGTGTATCCTCCTCAAACTGCTCCTGTGTGTAGCACTAGTGTTCTCCACATCTCCTCCTCCTGTTTTCTGTTGTGTTCTGATGTGTAATAACTCTAATCATTCAGCAGAGTGATATGGAGCTCTATTTCTGCCGGAACTACTTTAGCTGTGCCATTATCTGACAATAACCAAACACCAGAGAGTGACCTTCAGCCAATAAGAATCCAGCTTTCAGCAGCCCTGTGGTAAATATGTGTGTGTTTTATCTGTGTGTGTGTGTGTGTAGTTGCGTAGCAGCAGTGTGTTGTCCAGCTCTGATGTTCTGCCAGTGCAGTGGGTGGAGTCTCAAGCTTCAGTGCTGCTCCTGACGCTCCTCAAGCAGAGCCGGACGCAGTATGAGCTCCGACGGCTGCTGCAGCTGCTGCTGCAGCTGCTGCTGGACGTGGAGAAACTGCTCAAGTCAAACGGTCAGAACTCCACCACACATACAGCGTTTCATCTACTATCAATAATTATAATATAAATAATAATAATTGTAAAATACAATAGTCTTATATTCCAGAAATAGCAATAGGTGTATATAAATATATAAACATTACCTTCAAATATTTGACAATATTCATAAAGAAAATATTGTTATTACTAAAAAAAGACCAAATATGAATGATATTCAAACACTTTATGTAAAAAAACACAGCGTTTAAGAGTTTTTTTAAATGATTATTTCTATTACTATTGTCACAATAATAATAATAATAATAATAATAATAATAAGACAATTGGGCAATTTTATGTGTGTGCATGCGTGTGTGTGTGTGTGTGTGTGTGTGTGTGCAGGTCCAGATTTCCGGCTGCTCAGTGAGCTCAGTCAGCTGCTGTGTGAGACGCCGGTGTGTGTGTCGTCTCGTCTGCTTGACTGTTATTCCCCCAGTGTCCTGCAGGAGGAGTGTGTGAGGATCATGGAGGAGCTGCAGGACGCCGGACTCTACATGCAGGCGCGCAGAGTCGCAGAGCTGGCCGAGCTGCCCGCACACACACTCATCATCAACCAGGTGAACAGACACACACACACACACACACACACACACACACACACGACAGATGCACACACACACACACACACACACACACACACACACACACACACACACACACAGAGACAGACAGGTGGAAAAACAATTGGGAAAAGACAAAACTTTGAATTTAAAAAAAAAAAAAAAAAAAGGTAAACAAGACATCATCTCTACTTGGATAATGTGTAGAAATTAGCATTTGTTAAATTACTCAATGCCTAATTTGCATATTATCTGAACAACATTTTAGGACACTTATAATTCAAGAAAACGTTTGCAATACTTAATGTAATCAGTTGACTTGTGAAGTTTGATGATTAAAATTTACCTTCATGACAGGCAGTGCCTTAAAAATAGCATTATTAACATCATCCAAGCTTAATTTCAATAAATGAATATTAATTTTTAAGGCTTAAATAATTAGAAGGGTGTAATTTTGAAGTTGGCCATCTCTGCTTCAGGGAGCTGCAGAAGTGCTGAAAGTGTGTGTGTGTGTGTGCTTTCATGTGTGTGTGTGTGTGTTTTCATAGCTTCTGCGGGATCTGAGCGCTCAGAAACTGAAGCGTCAGTGGGAGCGTCAGGAGATTCGATTGGCCTTCTGGAGGAGGTCACATGATCAGCTGCAGACCGAACACGTGCAGCCAGAGACCGCATGCCACTTCTTCCTCTCACAGGCCGAGGTGTGACACACACCACAAACATTATATTATATTTTATTATATTATATTATATTATATTATATTATATTATATTATATTATATTGTATTATATTATATTATAATAATATTTTATACTAAAATAGATTATATTTTATTATATTAAATTTTATTACATAAAATTAGATTATATTATTATATTTTATATTATATTATATTATAATAATTTATTATATTAAATTAGATTATATTATTATTATATTTTATATTATATTTTATTATTTTATAATATAATAATATATTATATAAAATGTTATTATATTTTATTATATTTAATTGTATTTTATTATATAAAATGTTATTATATTTTATTATATTATATTATATTTTATATTATATTTTACTATATAAAATTATATTATATTATTATTATATTTTATTTTATAATATTATATTGTTGTATTATATTATATTATATTATATTATATTGTATTATATTATATCATATTGTATTATATTATATTGTATTATATTATGTTATATTATATTATATTATATTATTGTATTATATTATATTATATCATATTATATTATATCATATTAAATTAAATTATATATTCTGTGTATATAAATCGATAACGTTTAGTTCCTCGCTGTAATCCCATTGTGTTCCTCCAGGTGGCGCTGCAGTCAGACTCAGAGCTGGTGAATCTCCAGGAGCGCTGTGTTCTGCTGGGTTTAGCAGGACTCTGGTTGTCTCGCTGTGATCCTCCACCATCCACTCCAATTTTAGCAGATCTGGAGAAGCGTCAATGGGAATGTCGGATCCAGCAGCGACTCCTACTGGCAGATCTGGAGCGTCAGAGTCTGTTCGCTCCGTCCGCACTCTCCGAAGACTCTCCGGAAAATCTCCTGCGCGATTTTTCCTTCTCCAGAATGCCGGCTCTTAATGACGATGCTAATCTGAGTCTGGACGGTCTGCCGGCGGATTCAAATTCCTGTATTCTGCCTGATGACCAGCAGAGGGCGCTGGCGAGTCTGATCGCGCAGCTACTGAACGACGGCAGTGTGAACGAGGCTAGCCGTGTGTGTCGCTACTTCAGGTTTTTTCACAAAGATGTGTGGCTGGTGTTGCGGTGTCGCGGGTTAGCATGCGGCGAACTGCAGCCTGAACTTCACAGTCCTGATGGAGAGAGCCGCCGCAGTCTGCCGTCATGTGAGTGTGCTGCTTTCTTTTTTGTGTGTGTGTATTTGGGTGTCAGCAATATTTTAATTACACAGATATATATATATTTTTTTTTTAATATTATCGCTGATGGCTCTTTGTTGTTTTTGGTTATATTATACTTAGCATCATGCTAACATTAAGCTCTGAACTTCAATCGCTGAATTTTCTCTTTTCGATTTCTTTTCAAATTCACTAGCTTAGCATCATGCTAACACCAGGCTTTGACCTTTGATCTCTGTCTTTTTTGCCTTTTCGAATTCGTTAGCTTAGCATCAAGCTAACACCAGGCCCTGACCTTTGATCTGTGTCTTTTTTTGTCTTTTCGAATTCATTAGCTTAGCATCTTGCTAACACCTGGCTTTGACCTTTGATCTGTCTTTTTTGCCTTTCAAAATTCATTAGCTTAGCATCATGCTAACATCAGGGCCTGAACTTTGATCTGAGTCTTTTTTTGTCTTTTCGAATTCATTAGCTTAGCATCAAGCTAACACCAGTCCCTGACCTTTGATCTGTCTTTTTTTTTTTCTTTTAGAATTTTTTTTAATTCATTAGCTTTATTTCATTGTAAATACATTAGCTTAGCATTGTGCTAACACCAGGCATTTGAGCTCTACATTTTATTCTTACTATTTGAATTAATTAGCCTAGCTTTATGGTAATGCCAGACTCTGGCCTTTAATCTGCTTTTTTCTTTTAGAGTTCATTAGCTTAGCAACTTGCTAACACCAGACTCTGGCTATTGATATGTGTTTTTGTTTTGTATTGATTTTTTAAATTTTGTTAGCATAACATAATGCTAACAACAAGCTCTGAGCTTTGATCTCTGTATTTTTTCTTTTCAAATTCATTAGCTTATCATCATGCTAACACCAGGCTTTGACCATTAATCTCTGTCTTTTTTCTTTTAGAATTTCTTATTGAATTCATTAGCTTAGCATCTTGCTAAACTCTGATTTAGTCTTGATCTGTGTCCTTTTTTTAGTTCATTAGCTTACAACAACAAGTTGATGCAACAAGTAAACTTTGTTCTAAAAAAGCATCTTAGCATCTTGCTAACACCAGACTCTGACCTTTGATATGTCTTTTTATTTCTTAATCGATTTTTTAAAATTGGTATGCCTAGCATCTTGCTAACAACAAGCTCTGAACTTCGATTTCTTCGAATGAATTCATTAGCTTAGCATCATATTAACGCCAGACTCTCACCCTTGGTCTCTATTTGAATTTATTAGCTTAGCATTGTGTAAAAATCAGATTTTAACTTTTAATCCATCTTTTTTTCTTTACAGATTTGTTTTTGAGTTCATTAGCTTATTATCATGCTAACTTCAGGCCTTTATCTTTGATCTTTACATTTTTTTTACTCTATTTGAAATCATTAGCTTAGCATCATGCTAACAGCAGCCCCTGACCTTTGATATGTCTTTTTCCTTTTTAATTCATTAGCATTATGCTAAAACCAGACTCTGACTCTTGATCTGTCTTTTTTTCCTATTTGAAATCATTAGCTTAGCATCATGCTAACAGTGTATTTTTTCCCTTTTAATTCATTAGCATAATGCTAACACCAGACTCTGACTCTTGATCTCTGTCTTTTTTTCCTATTTGAAATCATTAGCTTAGCATCATGCTAACAGTGTATTTTTTCCCTTTTAATTCATTAGCATCATGCTAACACCAAGCTCTGACTCTTGATCTCTGTCTTTTTTTCCTATTTGTAATCATTAGCTTAGCATCATGCTAACAGTGTATTTTTTCCCTTTTGATTCATTAGCATCATGCTAACACCAGACTCTGACTCTTGATCTCTGTCTTTTTTTCCTTTTGAAATCATTAGCTTAGCATCATGCTAACAGTGTATTTTTTCCCTTTTAATTCATTAGCATCATGCTAACACCAAGCTCTGACTCTTGATCTCTGTCTTTTTTTCTATTTGATATCATTAGCTTAGCATCATGCTAACATCATGCCCTGATCTTTGATCTATGCCTTGGATCATTAGCTTAGCATCATGCTAACATCAGGTGTGTGTGTGTGTGTGTTCAGCTCCCAGTATGAGCTCCCTGTCGTCGTTTGTGGTGGTGTCGTCTCCTGATGATCAGCTCCAGCTTCAGCTCCAGCTGCTGGTGGATCAGTGCAGCCACGGCAAGAGTTACTGCAAACAAGTGCTGAGCCTCTACCAGCTCTCCAAGGTCAACACTGCTTTACTTCCTCGCTTACAATGCTGTCAAGGCATAAGAAACAACATCATGCATGCATCTGTGTGTATGTGTGTGTGTGTGATTGTGTGTGTGTGTGCTTGCATATGTCCATGTATTTGTAGGTATATGCATGTGTGTATGTGTGTGCGTGTGAGTGTGTGCATGCATGTGCTGTTCGAGTGTGCATGTGTCTATGTACAAATTTGTATATATGTATGCGTGTGTGTGTGTGTGTCTGTGCGTGTTTGTGCATCGCCTTTGTATGTATATATGTATGCTTGCATGAGTCTGTGTAGTGTGTGGGTGTATCTAATTGTGTGTGTGTGTGTGTGTGTGTTTGTGCAGGAGCTGCAGTGCTCGTTCTCTGAGCTGTGGTCCTCTGAGCCGGAGTGTGTCCTGCAGAAGGTGCTTCTGTCTCGTCAGTCTGAGCGCTGTAAGAAAGCAGAGGCCTTCATCAGTGCTCAGAGTCTGCAGCCGCACACCGTCGCCAACCTCATCTCCACTGCAGTGCTGGAGGGACTGAACGCACACACACGAGACACTGACACTAGTGAGACACACACACACACACAAGACACAGACACCAGCGAGCAACACACACTCTCTCAATGTCGACTTCCCATGTAAAACCCTTGTGTGTGTGCAGGTGAGCGTCTGATTTTCAGTGCGTCGGACAGCAGAGAGTCGTTCCTCCAGCTCGCCAAACTGTGTGGAGACGCCAATCTGGTGGGAAACAAACTGCTGGACAGCATCGGCAGCGTCCCGCTGTCAGACCTCAGCTGCAGTGAGCATACATTATACTACTAGAGCACCTGAAATATAAAGGAAGAGTTCAGATGCAAAAGTGGCTTAATGACACGTCTGCCAAAAATGAGATCACGACATTGAGGGAATGCTTCAGGCACGTACTACACCATCAACAAATAGATTTGCTTCTGATCATCTAAATCGCAGCGTCAGCGCAGTCAGAAATAACAGTAATAATAATAATAATAATAATAATTCCTTACATTTATACAGCGCTTTTCTGGGCACTCAATGGGGGGGGCATCTCCTTATCCACCACCAGTCTGCAGCATCCACCTCGATAACGTGACGGCAGCCATATTGCGCCAGACCGCACACCACACACCAGCTGATTGGTGGAGAGGAGTCAGAGATGAAGCCAATTGTAATATGGGGATGGTTGGGAGGCCATGATGGACAGAGACTAGTGGGCAGATTTGGCCAGGATGCCAGGGTTAAACCCCTACTCTTTTTCGAAGGACATCCTGGGATTTTTTAACGTCCACAGAGAGTCGGGAACTCGGTTTAACGTCTCATCCGAAAGACGGCGCTCACTGAGCAGTATAGAGTCCCCGTCACTATACTCGGGCATTAGGACCCACAAAGACCACAGGTTGAGCGCCCCCTGCTGGTAGTTTTAATGCAAAAGAAAATTTACCTTAATAAAAATCAAAGAATTGTCTAAAGTGACATTTGTGAAAAAAAAAAAAATTTCTTTACCAGCTAATAGGGATGCAACAATACAGTTAGCCCATGGTTCAATACATACCTCGGTTTTTTAACACGGTTTGCAGTTCGGTTCTCATGGCTTGACTTGTTTTGTGTTTTGTTTTTTGGGTTTTTTTTTTATTCTATTGACCTTATTCTAAAATGCGGAAGTGCGCCTGTTTTCGCGATTGTCTTAGAACTTCCGATTCAGTCGTCTATGGGAGAAATGACTAGGAATAATAAACGGCAGAAAACGGTCAAACTACTTGCTCTTGTGGTGGTTTTCTTGGTTTTTCTCTTACTAAATCAAACTCAGTCTGGAGGTTATGAATATCAGAAGAATATACTTTATTGTCGACAACAAAGAAGAACTTTCGGGAGACCCCCAGTAGCATCTCTGTCTGAAAAATTCTAACTCCCTCATCTTCTGGCCTTATTTAAATACCCTTTTACATCTGTTGTTTTCCTTTGTTCTCCATATATTACACAAGATCCCTCCTAGTTTAACCCTTGACCCCAAATTCCACCTCTGTCATCTGTTTTTGTCTTAGTTCTACATATATCACACAAATTCCACCTAGGTTAACCCCTGACCTCAATTTCCACCTAGGTTAACCCCTGACCCAAACCTGGTAACTATATAACTTATCCAGTTCTTGTGATATGGTAATTCTTCTAATGGTATGCAAGTCTACAAGCAGATTATATACATACACTTTGAATATATATATTAACTTCACACTTTAAAGAGTATAAAATCCACTTCACTCTACAAACAAATGTTTGCATGACTATACAGACCAAGTAGGATAATGTAATAAGAAAATATCAAATTGCAACATCAAGCAGCAGAATGAGCAGTTTTTAACGTCAGAAAATGAATGGAAGTGAATGAGACCGGAAGTCTCAAGCCAAAAAGATTCAAATGGCAGCGCCCGCTCGTCGACGGAGAACAGGGTGAATAGACAAAAGAAACAGTAAGAGGTTAAGGAGAAAAGAATAAAAACTATTTATTGCAACACTCATTTTGTTTTACTTAAAAGCCAAGAAAAGTGCACTAGTTCCTAGAGTATTGTATAATAAATGAACAGTGAAATCTCACAGCTGCTGGTAGCCCATGTACAAACTGGGGAACATAAAATCCTCCACTTTGAAAATAAACACACATGTGAAGTTAATAAAGATAAATTGGATATTTCAAATCAACATATTTGCACTTCAGTAAACATAAATAAACATCTTAATTATCTCGCTGCTGGAAAAATGCCAGACTGTAGTCTGTAACGCGGATCGAGTGCTTTTTTAAGATGACAAAAGCCCACATCTCCAATCACCGAAAACAGCTGCAAATTTTCAGCAATAAACACTCGCACTGCCTTTGCTATTTTGTGTGTGTCTCAGAGCCAGTTGGGTTTGTTTGCTGGAAGATTCAGCGATGGATTGTTGCTGTTTGGAGGACTTCATTACCTTCTCTGCTCTCCAGCCATCAGACAGTGATATTGCTGGGTGATGCGCTGCAGATGTGCAGTCATGGTTATACGTGTAAATCAGTGCTTGCACACAGTTATATTTTGTTCATCGTTTTTTCTGTTATTGGCATTATACTTACCGGCAAAACCAAAATGTCCTCACACCGCAGATTTGAAAGACGCCGGCACATTCTCGTACTGTTGCCTCACTTCACCGCCGCTCGCCATGTTAAAGTGTGGAATGATGGTCAAGCGCCCCCTAACTTTAGAGCATAGTGATTGGATATTTACTCGCGGTGAGGAGTTTCCTCATCTCAGCTCACGGACTTACAGGCACACACAGTCAATTCGGAGAGATTTAAAACGCACATAAATTATTGAAACGCAAAACCGAGAAAACCGCAATTCACAAGCGCATATTGAACCATGGAGGTCGTACCAAACGGTTCAATGTTATATTGAGAACCGTGGCATCCTTACTAGCTAATAACCTTTTCATTACATATAAAACGAAACTTCTGAAGCTAATCAGAGGAGCCTGACAGAAAATGCTGATTTACAAGAAAACAGCTCTGATGGATTAAAGTGGCTTTCACACTAGCACTTTTGGTCCGCACCCGGTTTCGTTTGACGTCAGAGTACGGTATGTTTAGCTATTGTGAACGTGTCTTCTGAACTCGAGTGCGCTCCCATGAACCGATCTTTGTTTTTAATTTTGATTTGTTGTGTAATTTGCTTTTAGTTTTTCACTTGATTTAGTGGTGTTATTATTATCTAAAGTTTTGTTTTTAATCTCTTTTTTTTATTCACTTAATTTTACTTATAGTTTTTTTTTATTTAGTTCTATAATCTGATTTTTTATTTTTTTTTTAATCTAAATTTGGGTCAGTTTTTGTCGGATTTGATTTTCAGGCAATGCTACAGTTAAAAGTAGGGACTGTGATCTGTCCTGTGATATGCGTAATGTCCTGAAGTGTGTTTAGTCATGGAGATTCTGTTTCTCTGATTGCATTATATCTAATGTGTGTGTGTGTGTGTGTGCGCGTGTTTGTGTGTGTGTGTGTGTGCGCGCATGTGTGTGTGTAGTCGTGGAGCTGCTGATTCTGGCTCATGACTGCTTCAGTGTCACCTGTAATCTGGAAGGGATTGTTCGTGTTCTTCAGGCCTGCAGACACCTGAGCCACACACACCTGGCGCACGGAGACGCTCACGGCCTGCTGGTGCGCACACACTCACGCTGATACAGCATTCATCATCATCAGAATAATCATAATAATAATCAGAGTTATTGATTATTATTAAATCTCTCTGCTTGTCTGTTTGTGTGTGCGTGTATGTGTGTGCGTTTACATATATATGTGCTTGTTTTTGTGTGCATGTGCATATGTGTGTGTGCCTGTGTGCACGTGTCTTTACATGTGTGTGCGTGCATGTGTTTGCCTGTGTGTGCACGTATCTCTGTGTGCATGTACATATGCGTGTGCATTTGTTCATGCATATGTCTGATTGCGTTTGCATGTGTGTGTGCATATCTTTGTGCATCTGTTCATGCATATGTGTGTGTGTGTGTGTGTGTGTGTGTGTGTGTGTGTCTCTGTATGCATGCATGTGTGTTTGCATGTATCTTTCTGTGTGTGCATTTGTTTGTATGTGTGTGTGTATATGTGTTTTTTTTATGTGTGTGTCTCTCAGGTGCGTCTGCTCACAGGTATCGGCAGGTATAATGACATGACGTACGTCTTCGATCTGCTGCACCAGAACCACCGATTCGAGATGCTGCTGCGCAAGAAAGTGGAGTCGGTGAGACACACACACACTCGAACGTGCACACTCAAATACAGCCATACAGTGCTTAAATAGGACCTTTAATCTATGTCAGTAATATTTTTATATTTATATAACAGGAATATATTATTATTGATACACATATTTTTAATACATTTAAATAAATATTATGTTGATTATTTGTATAATTTTTTTTAGTTATTTTTAGCTAAATTAGACTATAATATATGTGTGTGTGTGTGTGTGTGTGTGTGTGTGTGTGTGTGTGTGTGTGTGCGTGCGTGTGTGTGTGTGTGTGTGTGTGTGTGTATATATGTGTGTATATAAATAAATATAT